CCTGTAGAGAGTCACTCTAGTGCCTCAGGTGGTCAGTGGGGCCTTGGGACTTCCAGGTGTGTCCTTTTCTCCCCCTCAGTGAGAACTGGTGTAGGAGAGAGTCTGGGCAGAGCTGGGTTGGGTAAACCTGCCCTCAGGCACCACCAATGCCGTTAGCAGGGGTCAAAGTTCTGTTCTCTGCTTCCAGGAAAAGTTGTCAGGGAGGGACTGGAATGGCCTTGCTCAGCCAGAAAGTCTGCATGTTGGGATGGGACTGTCTAAGACCCGCAGTCTGGAGCGGGTCTCGCTTCTTTCCACCCTCCCCAACTCAGCAGCTACTCCTGGGCCTCTGCCAGCAGGCCAGACCACACGCCACCAGGCCTTCCCAGACTGTGATGCCGGCAGAGAGGTTCCCTGCACAGGAACACCACCTGGGTGTGCGCATGGCCTCCCTTTGGGAGGATGGTTGCCCCCTAGTACGCTAATCTGCCCCTGAATGCACACACACCTCAGTAGGCTGTTCACGTATAACCCTTCTGTGCCCCGGGCAATGCGAGACCTCGGGATCTGGTCTGCAGGTCTGACCTCTGGGTCCCAGAGTTCAAACTGTATCCCCACCAGGGAGAGGAGTGCCAATCCCAATTCACCCACGGGGGCCCAAGCTGGGTCTATGTCTCTCAGCCTCAGGGTCTGCCCTGTTCTCCTGTGATCACCGTGCCAGCATCACCTGGGAGGGATGGCGGGTAGGGAGCTCACAGTCTGAATTCCACTTAGTCAGCTGTAGGGTCCCAAAAGGGAAGGTCCCGTTCCCTGGAGGTGCCTCCAGCTGGTGGCTATATTGTCTCTTTGGGCAGCCTCAGGTAGGGTCGGTGGAGGGGAGGAGGAGGCAATATGGCGCCTGTCGCACAGCTCGGGTCTGTGCACACGGAGGTGCCCCGAGGGAGTTGGGAGCCTAGTGCCACGTCCACTACAGGCTCACTGCTAGCTGGCGGCGGCCATCTCTGGGCTGGTGTCTGCTGGTCTCTCCTCCCGCTGGGGAGCCCACCAGCAGTCCCAGATGCAGGGGAGGGGAAAGGTGACTGACCCACCTACCCTTGCCGCTGGTCTCTGGGCTGCTCCTGCGGTCTCAGCTTCCAGTTCTCCTCCGCAACCTCCTCCTGTGGAGTCTCCCCTGGCCTCAGGTACCCCTCCTTCCAGCTCTCATCCGCTGTATGCTTGTCTTCTTGCTTCTTTTTTCTAATTTCTGCTAGAATCTGTTTTTTCTGCAGAAACACTCTGTCTGGCAGTGTTTCTCGCCCGCCATCTTGATCCTTCCCCCCTAAACTCTTCTATTTTTGAGTGAAATATTCCCTTGTTTTTTCCACTGTATACATTTTGTATTTTATTTTAATTTTTTCTCTGTATTGAGGTAAAATTGACAAAAAGTATATATATATTAAATATGGTACACATCTTGATGTTTGATATACATTGTGAAATGACTATTACAATCAAGATAATTAAGGTATCATTCACCTCACAGTGTTATCCTTTGTGTGTGTGTCAGCAAATTTCAAGTATGCAGCACTGCATTATTGTACAGTAGTATTGCATATAGTCACCGTGATGTGCATTGGATCTCCAGAATTTCTTCCTCATGCACAAATGCAACTTGACCCTTTTGACAAACATCTCCCCATTTCCCATTTCTGTTGGCAAGAGAAGCTCAATGGGATTTGGTGATTCAGGGTTTTCAGAATTTGGAATCTACCAAAATGTTTCAATTTCAATTTCTCTTTTCAAATTTTACATGAGTCTAACTTAGAAAGGCAGAAAATTCAACTTGCTTTATAATTCAGACCTTCTTCAGGACAGATATTCTGTTTTGTTCAAAAAGCTCTGCTTCAAGAAAAAGAAATGATTTTTGCAGCATGGTTGCTGAAGCTCTCTGGTTCTCTAATGGCTTTGCACTGGGGGTTGAAAGGACTGAGTTGAGGTCATTTTCCTCCTGCAGCTTATTCAGTGCAATCAGAAAAACTTACTGCATTCCTGGAATATTGGACTCCATTTCTACCAGAATATATAAGATTAAATTTTCCTCCAAATAATTGTCTTCAATGCACTTGATTTTCACCAAATACCGACAATAATCCCAGCAGTGTTTTTGCCACAGTATCCTATGAAATAATGCTGTTCCACTTTCCACTGGCAATTATGTAATAATTGTGTTCTCATGTAACCAAATTAGGAGTTCGATTCTAGAGGCCCATCTTTAAGTTCTATTTCCTTAGAACATCTTCCAGAAACAAATTCTGGGTAAGTCACTCAATGTTTTCAGAGTATAAATGGTTTTTATCATAGGGTATTAGACCCGTATTTGGTCTTTAGAAGGGCTGGGGCAGTGAAGGCTATTTTGGGGTGGTCTTGGAAACTCGCGCAGTGGCTGTTCCAAACCACAGAATGTATATGAAGTCCCCACTGATGGTCTAAGTTTCTGGCACCAATGTAGTGTGTTTCCTACAAGCTGACCTGGAAGGTGATTTTAAACTCATATCTGCCTGCTTCAGAGAATAACTCCTTTATTTCTCTTCTATTATACAAATCTCATATAAATCCATCTCACTGGGAGATGATAGTTACGAGCCATGCAGGGAAAATGATTCTAAGAAATACAGCTTCCAGCCTCCCTTTGCCATGCAGCTGTGACCTTAGGCATGCGTGGAATTGCCACCAACCTGAAAACTGAATTAACATAAAATATAGCAATTATGTTAGCAGTACTGTGATCTGAAGAATTATTCATGCGCTTTAATGGAAAGGACATTTTAATGAAAAATTCTTCTCTCCCTAGTTTTTTCCATTGAAAACAGCAATGACAAAAAATAAAACAAACCGTGAATATAAATCTTCTAGAAAATCCTAAATTATTATTATACATAGGCCACTTTTCCAAAGATGTTTTGGAAGTTTTTCATACTCTGCTTTTGTTTTCTTAGGAATGATCATTTTGATAATTGTGTTTTGTTTTTCCCTAAGTATTTGGTAGCTCTTGTGCAGGTAGCTCAGCTGTGAAAGGAGAGAGGCATTGGTATCTAATTACACATTTTTTGAAATGAATTTGGGGTGTGTAGAATATCTTCCAACTGCAGAATTTTGATGTATATAAATTTTAACACAACATTTTAAAATTTTATAGTTAGACTACAGAATTGTAAACTCAAACTCTCAGTGATATTAAATTTTCCATGACTGTAAAACGTGTTAAACAAGATCACAGGCACTGGGGTTGTATTATTTGTATCATCTTACTAATGGGGCCATTGGGAAATCTAAAGCTTTAATATACATTTTAAACACTTAAAACTTCCTGGAACATAGAAAGTCATCAGCAAATTCTAACATTCGTTTGATATCTCATACAAGTCCACAGTACAAAAATCCCCTTGTCCCAACCTAAAATCAACACTGCCTCAAACTCACCTCACTTTGTCATCAAATACCAGCTACCTCATTATGTGATCCAATATCTTACCAGTATCCCAAACCTAACCAGATGCTTTATTCCCAACCATGCTCAACTTACTTTTGATTAAGTTGTTAAAAACACAATAGCAAAACGATAGTCTCTTGAATAAATTGTTTTGGTAAAACCAGATATTCACATGTAGAAAAATGAAATTAGATGCATATCTTACACCATATACAAAAATCAATTCAGAATGGATTAAAGACTTAAAAAGTAGGACCTGAAACTGTAAAACTACTAGAAGAAAATGTACAGAAAAGCTCCATGACACTGGTCTGGTCTGGGCAATAATTTTTAGGATATGATCCTGAAAGCACAATCAACAATAGCAAAAATAGACAAATGGGATTAGCCAAACTAAAAAGCTTCTAAATAGCAAAGGAAACAATCAGCACAGTGGAAAGGAAACTTACTGAATGGGAGAAAGTATTTGCAAACCATACATCTAATAAGAGGTTTACATTCAACATATATAAGGAACTCAACTGAATAGCAAGAAAAGAGATATCCTGAGTAATAAATGGGCAAAGTAAAATAGCAACTCAAAGTACTAAAAAAGTAAAATAAAACAGCAACTCAGAATGCTGAAAAAAATAGGCAAAAGATTTGATGTTTCAAAAGAAGAGATAAAAGTAGTCAACAGATATATGAAAAAAATGCTCAGTATCATTAAACATCAAAGAAATGGAAATTAAAACCAGAATGAGATATCACTTCATACCTGCTAAAGTGGCTATTATCAAAATGACAAAAGATATGTCTTGGCAAGGATGTGGAGAAAACGGAACCCTCATATGTGACATGGTTGTTGGGAATGCAGATGGATACAGCCATTATGGAACATAGTATGTTGAGTTCTTCAAAAAATTAAAAATGAAACTACCGGCAATCCCACTAAAGAGTATATATCCAAAGAATAAGAAATCAGTAGGGTGAAGAGATATTTGCACTCCCATGTACGTTGCAAAAGCATTCACAATAGCCAAGACATGGAATCTATCTAAGCGATCAATCGATAATTGGATTAATAAAAAGTAGTGTGTGTATGTGTGTGTGTATATATATATAATAAAATGTGAGTGCTATTCAGCTTTAAAAAAGAAGCAAACACTGTCATTTGTGACAACATGAATTAACCTGGAAGACATTATGTTAAGTGAAATAAACCAGGCAAAGAAAGACAAATTCCACATGATCTCATTTATATGTGGAATGTAAAAAAGTCAAACTCATAGAAGTGTAGAGTAGAATGGTGGTTACCAGGGTTGGTGGGAGGAGGAAGAGGAGCATTGGGTAGATATTGGTCAAAGGAAACAAAATTTCAGTTAGACAAAAAGAAAAAGTTCAAGACATCTCTTGTACAACATGGTGACGATAGTTAATAGCAATGTATTTTATATCTGAAAATTGCTAAGAGAGTGGATTTGGGGCTTTGTCATCACACAAAAAAAGTATAAGTATGTGAGGTAATGCATCTATATTAATTAGCTTGATTTAGCCAATCCACAACATATACATTTATCAAAACATCATGTTATATACCAAAATTATATGCAACTTTAAAATTTTTAAATAAAAAAGAAATCATGTTTTGAAAGTCGATACTTACACTTTTGAAAGTCTCTAATTTGTGTGCTTGATAACACCAGGATGTAAAATAAAACTATACATTGTGCACCAATTCATAATCCTAATTATACTTATTTATAAAATTCAAAGTCAACTCCCTCTGATGAAGCTTATATCGGCTATGTACCTGGCACTGTGCCAAGAAATTTGCAGTAATCAATTTATAGTCACAAAACCTTATAACATGCATACTGCTATCACCCAATTTTATGGATGAAGAACCAAAGAAAATAAAATTTAATAAACACACGTGAGGTCACTAAAAATCCAGAAGTCGGGAAAAACCAGGCTTGTTCTAGATCCACAGTGAGGATTATTAGACTCTGCACTCGACGCCATCCTGCGACTGTCGACTTCTCAAGACGGAGGCGTCTGTGCTGGGATTATGTGACGGCCGCTGCTTTGCTTGCTTGTTTCTGGGGGAGCAGACTTGCTTGATTGTTCAAGGACAATGCAATGACTGTGCCGCGCCGCACCGCAGGGAGCCGAGGGACAAGCGAGGGGCGTTTTCTCTGGGGACAGTGCCGGCAGGACGCCACCGCGGCCTGGGTCCCTGAGGCAGAGGGCTGCGCGGGCTGTCCAGGCCCCTCAGCCCATTGGGCACGTCTGGTCCTGACTGCGAGGGAAGAGGGGCCGCCCTGGGATCACCCTGGGTGCTGTGCCCTGCAACACTTCCTGTCACAGAAACAGATTCTTGATAATACCGTGAGGAAAACGCAAAAGGTAACAATTAATCTCTAGTATTTCTGGAAAAATAGGATTTATCTTACACCAAAACAAATAATTGTATTTTAGGCGTGATGATTACCAGGACATCGCGCTGCTTTGGTGGGTAGTTACCTCAGTCACCGGCGCTCGTCTTGCTTTTGTAACACAGCTGAAAGCTCAGCCACAAGCGAAGTTATCACATCTTTAACTCCGAATAAATATCAGTGAAATTGAGCAATGCTTATTAAACACCGCTTTTATGTACTTGCCACACATGACTGATGGCATACAACCATCAGAGATTCTTTAATAGCAAGAGGAGAAAACAGGGCTCAGGTAACTTTTGAATTATAAGCAACTATATCCTGAATATATAATCATTGACTATGCTATAACATGGACAGTGGAAGAGATTGATTTATTTGTCGCTAAGGATTCAAATTAGTGATACTATTATTAAAAAACCTTCAGGGTAAGAATGATGACTTTTTCAAAATAAATACTGTATAATGATTTAAGATATTTACATTGAAAATATATATATTAAGGAAAATGGATATTTTACTACCAAGTATATTTAAGCATAAATGAATGATAGTTTTTAATAGCTCTTATTATAAAAAATACGTAAAAGGTAAATAATTGAGATAAAACTGGTTGAACTTTGAGCCCTTCACATTCTGATCCTACTAGATATTTTAACCGAATAACCTGACTCTTCAGGTAAAAACACAGCCTGAGCAGTTTATATATTGTCAGTCACATCTGTACACGTGTTTAAAAATGTTACATATAAAACAGCTGAAAGGTAAAACAATTCACCAAATTATGGGGTAGTATATGAAATATCATTTGTAAAAATCATTTGAACATCATCAAGCAGAATAAAATATCAGTACTAACACAACCCGCTGTGACTGTGTCCACTTACTCATACATGGGCTTGCCCTCAGGAGTGGTGGCGAGAACCAACTCTCGCTTCCTGGGGTCTCGGCTTTCTAGACAATCATGCACCAAGTATTTGGTGGTGAACAGCATGAGTAGCCAATTAGAAGTAATCCAAAATTCCAGAATTCTTACTGACTGCCTAAAGTCTTGACGGTCCTGTAATGGTACATTTTGGAGGGAGAACATTGCACTAGAAGATTAGTAAGGCTACAGCAATTATAATAATTAATTCACCGTTGTGAAATTCCCGTATCCTACCTAGGTTACATCCACATTCCTCTAATTAACACATTAACACAGGCACCACTGGGGTAGAATGGCTGACTCTGCAACCTACATCATATATATATACACACACATATATATAATATGTATATGAAACATATATGATAGTAAATACTCAATGATGCATTTATATTTAGAGACAATGAAATTACTTCACCATCAGGAATCCAAGTACTTTGTATTTTTGTTGTTTTATTTTCTAATCGAATCATTTTACTCTCTCCATTCTTTCCTTTGAGCCACAGGCATGCAACTTCACTAACCCTGTTTGTTAAAACTCAAAGTAAGAACGACACCACATGAGCCCTGAGTGAAGGTGATCTTTTTTTCCCCCGAAATTGAGTTGGCTTGTTTGAAGAAATGATTATTGAGAAGTCAATGTCAATTTTAATAGAATTCTTCTATGGAATGCCATAAGAGACAGTTAAGTTTCTAGCCACCTAAGCAAGTCACTGTAGATTTTATCAGCAATAACTACGTACAGTTTTAAGGAGCAAGGCTAGTTTTCTTGGGTGCTGTGTTGTTTGTTTCTATGATCCAACTTTGAGGAACATTGTGAAACACTGCTTTCCAAATGCTGAAGGGATTTTGCTCTTTAAAAGTTCCTGATGCAACAGAAACAGCAGGAATTGGGAGTCATCGGGACTTGGAGTAAATCTCTGGTTCAGTTTTCCTTGAGCAAATGATTGGACGCTTCTGCATCAAAGAGCAAAAGGTAAAATAGGGATAAGGATCATCATGCCAGCCTCAGACAAACGCCGGGAAGATTAGCCGAATTCCCAGCACGCAGCACAGAGCAGGAACTTAACACACATCATGTTCTTCTTGCTAATAGAATGAAAACATCCCTGAGAAATACTGATGCTTTAAGATTTAAATGACTGTGTATCATTATTTATCGGTTAACTTTTGGTTTATCCAGAATCTTACACCAGTGTTTGGGGGAAATGCCAAAGGTTGAGGATGACGGTAGAAAAAACTGTATGATGGGATGAAAAGTTCTGCGTGGGAACTTGGGAAATCGGAAACATCCGACCGTGCTGAGTTCCAGTGTTCGATGCTGACGTAATCCAGCATCGACACAGGCTATCCAGATCAGGGCTGGCATCTCACACAGGAAGTGGTCCACCTTGCGGTGCCCACAGCGGGGCCATTGCCAGGTCACTGCAGACATGGCCAAGGAGTTGCCCACCCTCCGCTCCACGAGGAGGGGCACTTAGTCCGTATGGAGAACAGGGACAGATTTAGAGCCATTCTGACTAGAATAGCTAGAATGAAGTTAATGACATCAAAACAATGACATAAGCAAAACTCTGATGAAGATTTGTTTCCTACTTGGCACTCTGGTAAAAGCTGGAGGAAATTCATTTCTATGACTATTTACCCCGTGGTTCTGGGACCCGCTTTATAGATCGACGAGAGGGGGTTTGGATGGAATGTGTTGCTCAGTTCGCTCATAAAACGTGTGACGCTGGAGCTAAAACAGCTGCAGAGTCCAGGAGAAGCCGAGTCAGCCGAGCCGCAGGCCAAGGCCAGCTCCGCCCCAGAGCCCCAGCGGCCACCATGGCCTGGTGGGGTCGAGGCCAGGGCCGGGGGGGAGGCCCCGGAGATGCCCTGCTCCTTCCCTACCTTGCTGTCCCCGGCAGCAGCCTTCTCAGTGCCCCCTTCACCTCTTTGTTTCTGAGGGTGTAGATCAGGGGGTTCAGCAGAGGGGTGACCATGTTGTAAAAGAGGGTGAGAAACTTGCCCTGGTCCTGGGAGGAGCTGGCTCCCGGTTGCATGTACATGTAGATGATGTTCCCGTAGAAAAGCGAGACCACGGCGAGATGGGAGCCACAGGTGTTGAAGGCCTTTTGCCTCCCTGATGCCGATGGAATCTGTAGCACGGCCCTCACGATATAGCCATAAGAGACCAGGATGAACACCAAGGGGGACAGCACAATGCCCACCGCCAGGACAAAGACGGTGACTTCGACGGCTACAGTGTTGACACAAGCCGTCCGGATGAGGGCTGGCATCTCACACAGGAAGTGGTCCACCTTGCGGTGCCCACAGCGGGGCAAGCGCAGGGTCACTGGAGACATGGCCAAGGAGTTGGCCATCCCACAGCCCCAGGCCACCGACACCAAGCCCCGGCAGAGCCTGGGGTTCATGGTCGCCATGTAGTGCAGCGGCCTGCAGACCGCAACCAGCCGGTCGTAGGCCATGACGGCCAGGAGCAGGCACTCCACACCGCCCAGCCCCAGGAACAGGAAGAGCTGGGTGGCACAGCCCGAGTAGCTGATGGTCTTGTCACGTCCACTGAGGTTGTGGAGCAGCTGGGGGATGGAGCTGGTGGTGAAGCAGAGGTCCAGGAAGGAGAGGTGGGTGAGGAAGAAGTACATGGGGGTGTGCAGCTGGCGGTCCCGCCGGCACACCAGGATGATGCTGGAGTTTCCCAGCAGCGTGAGGAGGTAGGCTATCAGGAGGGCCACGAAGAGGGTCCTCTCCAGACGGGGGTGGTCAGAGAACCCCACAAGGATGAAATGGTTTGGGGAGCTGTCATTGGCTCCTTCCATCGCTACCGCCCCTGAACAGAAAGATCAGTACTGACGACACCACCAGCTGACATTAAGGGAGCACTTACTGTAAGCCCGTCCTCCTTCTCTGCTTTTACATGTGTTCATCTAGCCCCAACAACAACAGTATGGAGTGGGCACTATTATTATCATCTCCAAACTCATAAAAAAGGAAACTAAGACATATGTGGCTTAAGAAAAATTGTCATATGTGGAAAGAGGCAGAGCTGACTTTAATCCTAGGAAATGAGGCTTAAAAGTTTTCATCCTTAACCACTGCTTGAAGTGTCTCTGACCCCAATGATGTGAAAGACACACTCTGCCACGGCCCAGCCATCCATTCCTCCAGAGACCCAAGGGACTAAACTCCTGCCAACACCTCATGGAACCCTCCAATTATCTGTCAATATTAAAAGTATTCAGGAAATATCCATTATATGCAGAACATCTTACTCTTGATCCCAAATAAATACCTCATTCATTTGGTTATCATTTTGAGGTAATTTTTAATTACCTGAGTAGATAAATGATAATACTACTAAAGCAACAGAACATGTAAAATATCTCTTTCTCTCTCTTAATTGGGTCTGGTACTGAAGAGATAGAATATATATTTTTTTCTTCCAAGGTACTATATATTGCTTGAGGGGAAAAAAATTGTAGCAGATAATATAATTTTGACACAATAAATCACACATCTGTGCAGAAACCTCTATCAGATTCCAATCTCAACACTGCATCACATCTGAAGAAAAAGCATGTTTGATGAGGTAAACCGCAGTCTTACGGACAGATATAGAGACAGATCAATACAGCTTGGGCTACGGCCACAAGCTCTTCTGTTGCAGTCACTAAGCCAGCACGACATGATCATGGATCTCAGAGAGTTCCTTTACCTTTTCTTAGTTTTCTCATCTAAAATGGTCATAATCAAACCTTTACCTTACTTATTTTATAGATGTTTTGAGATTTTTCAAAATATGAAAACAGTATAAAATATATAAGAGTTTGGTGTGTGTGTGTGTGTGTGTGTGTGTGTGTGTGTGTAAAGGTTTCACAGCAGACATGTCATGCGAACACAGAATAGAAAAATAAACCCACGAATCTAGGCAGAGAAATTAT